AACTGAAACTGGACCCCCCCCCCCCCTTCCAGCTTTCTCATTAAAATGAAAATGATCCAAAAATTAGCAAAACGAAAGAAAAAAAATTAACAAAAAGAAGAAAACACATGAAATCAGAGGTAAAAGTAAAGGGCTTTTTTTTCATCAGGGTGGTTGAAATTTAAAGAAACATAAATGGAAAGAAATAGAGAAGGCAAATCACAGAAGAGATTCCTCACATTTACAGGTTCAAATTGTAATCCACAACGGAAATTTGAAATTGGTGGAACATTCAAGTTGAGCAATGATAACGAGCAAATTGTGATGATATCAAACTGGCAGAAACAAAATGTCAAAACATATCAAGTCAAAGACAGAAAAACAAAAACAAACAAGAAGGAGGGAAAAAAGGAAAAACTCTTAGCCAAAAAAACAAAAAACGAAACAATTTTTTTCCAGGAAAACTTAATACAAAAGTATTAAATTACACAAAACACTTAACAATTCACCATCTCAACTTTTAAATACAAGGTAAAGTGTTCAATGGGACAATGAAAATTATTTTGAATAGCAAAATGAAGGCACACAATGGAACAAATCAAAGAGAACGGTTATTTTGCTATGAAGCCATTCACCAACGTAAACAACCTAAAATCACAATTATATTTCCTTCAGTCAAGTGGTTGCGACTGAAGTTAGACTGCTTCATAACAATGGTAGTGTACAAGAAAACTGCAAACAGAAATAAACTTTAATCAAGCGAGCCTGTTTGTGAATTATACAATGCAAGGTATCCCCAAACAGCCGATAGAAGGGCATCCCTTAGAACTATTGAGGAAAATGCTTACAAGTCAGTAGTTCATACATTTGATAGGTTACCTTTCAAGGAGGCATAATTACTGACAAACCAGCAGTCTCCAAGGTCAGAGCTTTTACTGTAATTTCAATGCGACTTTATTACGACCTCAGACAGAGTCAATACGCATACAGTATACATATGTAAATCTAAATGCATTGGAACACATGACGATAATAATCCAGGGTGAAATGAACAGCTAACAGAATGTCAAAATTAATCACATATTGCATATATATATATTATATATCGCAAATAACTTGAAAGGGGAAAAAAATAATGTATAATTTAAAAAGTGTACTCAGAAGCAAATAGGTTATGCTTCGGTTGCTGCTAAATCGACAAAGCAAACACAAAATCTTCCATAGAGAAAAAGAGATACTGTTGATATTAAGTACAGATTCACTACTTTATCTTCCAAAAAGGTCCTGGCATTAAGCCATAAAGCCATCATATGTTACACTAGTACAGATTGTAAAGGGATTCATATAATAGATGCTCCTCTGCGTTTAAAGCAATAAAGAATTTAAAAAAATAAATTTAAAAAATCTTTAGTAAGTCATACTATTTCGCATCCTTCCTGTCACTTTTGATAAATGACAGTTAATTTTTACCTCAGTGAAGCTGGAAATGTCTTTCAGAAGTGATGACGAAAAGAAACAAATTCAGTAAAGGCCTCCATTCTCTTTTCAAAAACTTTCAACATTCCATGCTACTAACTGGTTAACTCAACAAAACAGAAAAGGTACAAAGCCTATTTGCCTACTTATGTGCTTTCTGTATGGAAAAAAGAAATGAAAATGAAACACATTGCAGCAATAGTGGTTGTTAAATATAAGGAAAAGGCAAGATGTCAAACAGAAGTAGCAAATAAAACGAAAAGTAAGGTTATATATGGTACTTCCTATCAGCTGCATTCAACAATATTAAAGAAATATGGTATATACAATATAAACAGAATTATTGGGTAAAAGAAAATATATACCATTTATATAAATATCTACAGGTTAACAACAAATTTCCCCTTTCTCATTGAATCTTATGAAAAAAATAAGTCCTCTATAAAGACTTTCTTTCAAAATTGATGACAGGGACTACTTCATTTTCCCCGTAGAGGTTTTTAAAAATCAAAACAACTTCACGTTTACTTTTACTCTAGAATGCTAAATTTATACAAACTAATAATTTGGTATCACTTAAGTCACACTACAGCTCAAAATGAAGGAAACTGGGCTTTTTTATTTTCTTTTGAGTTTAAAACACTCTCACTACAACGTAAGAAGATAGGCTATTTAAGATGCTGTATTTCCAAATAAATTTCCTTCAGACAGGACAGAAGTAAACCTACCTTAGCAGCTCTTCAAGCAATGAGTTAAGAAACCTAATCAAACCAGAGTTGCGCTATCCACAGATGGTAGTAGCAAACTGATTGGCCTCTAAGTTTCAATACCGTTAGAAAATTTGAACCCCCTCCCGCAAAAAATGAGGCAAGAAGCATAATGAACACTCTATAGTTGTGGTTCGTAAATATTATTTTGCAAACCCAATTATGATCTTCACAAAAAGCAAACCAGGTGATTCATTGGAAAGCAAATGAGTCAATTCATACAGCTTCCCCTCCACATGTACATAAGTCAAGCAGAGGTCATGAGATTTAAATGTTCTTCTTCATAAAATATACAAGGCATAATGTTACAGCAATAATGGGAAATACTTTTCACTTGGCATTTCGCAATGTTCAAAAGCAACTGAGACTTCTAGATGTCATCTAGCAAAAAACAAAAGTGGCTTGAGAGACATTTTATACATAAAAGGCACATACAAAGACATCTTTACCCACTGACTTTAGGAATCATGTCATGAAAGAAGCATTGCCAGCAGATTATCAACATATATGTGCAAATTCACTTCAAAGAAATATTCAGAAAAATAGAACCTACACTTTTGATGATATTAATATCATGTAGGAGAGAGAAAAAAATTGCATTTTCTACAGAGCTTTAAACAATACAGGTAAAAAATCATTGGTGCCCAATCAGTGTGCACTGTTAGGTACAATAGAAGTTTTTCTTTTCAAAGTTTCCAGACGGCACAAAATTTACTGTGAATCATTTCAAAAAGTTCTCAAATAATAACTTGAAAGCATGAAAAAAAAAGCCCTATGTTAACCTTCACTAAGATAGTGCATGGCACAATCAATAACCAACAATAGTGGTAAAAAAATGTGTCTAACAAAGCTTGGGCACATAAGTGTCTGTTGTTCTAAATAATACAGATATAATATAATGTGTGTCCTTGTAATTGAGGAAAATACATGTACAGAGATGCTGGTGTCAAACATACTTCCCCGTTGGGGAAAAAGGAGTACATTTTTCATTATATTCATTTATTTTCCTGTCTAAAACTATAGCAATTTCAGGACAGAACGGAATTTTCAAACATTCAACTAAAAAAACAAATTCAAACATAAGTTTTGATTATTTCTATTTGAAAAAGTCATAGGTTCATTTGACAAATAGTAAGAAATAGACATTGAGAAAATACAATAATGTACACTTACTGTTTTATTATGCAATATAATGCACCCTGCACCACACAAAAAAATGTTCACCTTATTTATAGATTACAGAACAAACAATTTTATCTGCAAGGAATTCACAGCACGAGAACACTATCATTTTGGTATCATACATAAGATTTGTTTGGGTGAAAATGCAAATACCTATGAACGTACAAAGAGAAACAAGAGTGTTTTCCTGACTTTTCAGATACACAATAACACAGCTAATAAGAACAATCGTTAAGTCCAGAGGACAAATACTTAGTTTATGACAGCTGAGATATAATATCATTCTTTATCCACCCCTGGATTGAAAACTTCATTTTGATACTGAGGTTTTACAATACCCAGGGACTCTGCAAACTTATTCTGTGAGCACCCATTACAATGACAAGACTACGGCAAATTTCAAGAGTGCAGAAGGCAAAATGGGCCTCAACTTTAGAAACAATTGAGACAATACAAAAACAAAATTCCTCTCAAAAAGATCATGCTACCCGAAAAGAAGTAGTCGCTTGCCGATCTTAAGACTGACTATATAATGGTATTTCAGAGTTTTCAGCTGAGATTCAAAAGTAAAAAGGTACCATAAAGCACAGCATTTTCAATGGCAATTTTTAATCTTGAGAATACTGACTAACTTTAACTCATTTCGAACTGCACATAGAATTCCATATATGCGCTCATCATTTGTTCACAGCTGTCCGCATTAGTCATTAGGATGATTAGGGATTCCCTGTCTGAAATGATACCTCGGAAAACAACAGTTTTGTTTTGTCACAGTAGAGTGGAAAACACCCTAATATAATCTAACACTCATAGCAGACTGTTTTAGTGCTCATTTAAATGTAGGTCGGTTGGTTTGAATAACAGGAATCTTGGGAACATGAAGTAAAAAAGTTGATAAATTATTTTGGCAGTAGGCCTACTGAGTGTACATTTTTCAACCTTAAAGCTTTTCTATTCTTTGTGCTTCTCATTGTAGACATACATTAACTCAAGATTTATCAAAATTAAGACACCCCATGCCCTTACATGTATGATGAAAGATCAGGTAAGGTTCGAGAATAACCTGCATAATCTAAATCTAAACATTAGGAAGCTAAGCAAGACATCTGCGGCAGATAACTGAGTATGGTGTGAAACCCAGATACAACGAACATGGATTCAACGACAAGAGCAGCCGATGACCAAGAAACACGTAAACTGATGAGACAACGAACACTGTGCTTGAACATGTTGACAAAGCTTTTTAAGTTCTCGCGTGGTTCCCCCAAAAAGTTAAAAAAAAGGTAAATCTTGTTCAAGCCCAATCCCTTTGTTCAGTGGTTGTGCCAATGGATGAAACTATTCAAAGAATTTAGAAGCAAACACTTTGGGGCACTGTTTTTGGTTCATTCCTTAATTCCCATTGTAACACAATCAGAACAGATATCCCCATCGTTATCGATTTCAAAATGTTCACCCTAGTCACACCTTTCTTAATTGGATTCAACGAACTTGAAAGTCAGGCCCTAACACTTAGTTATACCCTAGTTTCACTAAACAAGAAACAAACAAGAACGAAAAACAAGCTTGCTGCTGTGAACATAAGACAGGAACGAGACAGCCAAGCTGGGAGTATGGGAGGGGGACAATGTCAGATTTTGAAACACCAGTCCTTTTTCAGATCTACAAAGTTTTCTTGCTCTCCTGGTTAGTTGTTACAAAATCCCTTTGCAAATAACATCAAAACTATCAACTTAGAAACATATTAGCTCTGTACAAATTACAACGTTAGCTTTGGTTTTAGTATTATGCGCACGACTGGAAAAGGCCACGTAACAAGCTATCCATCATTCATCATGGTATGATTTTAATGCATATATATTTAATGAAAAAATAGAATACATTTTTTTTTAAATCTACAAACCATTAAACAAGATGAAGCTCAATAAAACATCTATGAACATAATTGGAAAAACATTGTGGTTTCTTTACAAAGCTTCTCAATCTCAGCTAATCCAAGGACAAAATAGAATTATGTTAACGCAAAGTAAATTACTGAAAATAAAAAAATTACTGATTCATCAATGAACAACCCATTTTGCCAGAAAATATGAACTTACACATGAGCTTCAAGTTTTGCAAAAAAGAACAATAGAGACAGATTACTGAAGCTCAAAACACCCAATTTCGCTGTTTATCCCAAACTAAAAAAAAATATATATATCCTCGCTGCTAATTAACTTTTCACCTTGACGGCGTGTTAACTGAGATCAATAACTACCTGTAATGTGTCCATGTTATAGCTATGTAGCAGAGACGATATTTGTGCAATAAATATGCAGATATATACATACAAATCATATTTCGCATTTTTGCTTTTTTTGTTGATTAAACAAGGGTGAAACAAAAAAGAAATCAAACCACTTGTAAATGGCTACCTCTTCACGTGCTTCGGTGAACTCTGCATGCTGCTTTTTCCCTCTTTCAGGTTCAGATCGTCTGACAGACAAATAACTTTTGAACTGACTTTTACAGGCTTGTAACTCTCATCACTACTGGAACTTGACGACTGGTTCTCGTTATCCTCACTGTCGGAACTGCTGTCACCAGAGGGCAAGATGTTTCTTTTGCGGGAAGGAGAAGTCACCTCAGGGGGTGGGATAAGTCTCGGGGCATCATCTCTTACCCTGTGCAAAAAAATAGTGGAGGATACGAGGAGTCAGTGTAGTGTAAACATAAGGAAAGGGGAGTGTTAAGCATTGAGCGAAGAAGAGTACATAGGCCCAATAACAGTCATTTAGTGCTAGGGAAAAGCAAAACAAGGAGCACAGGTGTCTAACCTCCAAAAACTGTTTGTTCTTGCGGAATTTGTCCAGATAATTCCTCATACCAGTATCATGAGTACTCTTTTACTACATGGAAGCTTTGCTCTCTAAAAAAAATATTTTTTAAAAAAAGAAAAGAAAAGAAAGAAAGGAACCCCCCCCCCCCCTCCCCCCCCCAAAAAAAAAAAACAAAAACAACCCCAACCCCAAAACATTTCATTCAGTTAAGTTAAGGCAAACAATATTGAAACAATGTCCCCTGAGAAAAGTGAAGAAGGCATAGAAGTATTGAACAAACAGAGGAATAAAATAATGACCTCTCAGTGGCATCCATAAAGTTAATAGTTGTCTATGTGTACAACTCTGGCATTGCAGAACCACGAAAAGAAAAGGTGGGAAGCATGAATGGGAACTAAAATCATCTTGGAAATTTCTATGTTTAGAATAGCTACGGGGAACAACAGGAGATAAAATGACAAGTGACTGTTCCCAGTGGCTAGTGTTGGTTGGCTTGATGCCCACAGTTTCTCATCTAATCAGTTCTGAATGCAAATAAAACTTTGTACAAAGCGTCTCTGAAGGAAGCTATACACCTTCGTCTTTATGTTTATGTCCGTTCTTCGAAATGAATCAAAGCACATGTGGTGAAGGTAGAGAGTCGAATTGTAACTTTTAAAAATCAACAACGTCAAGCCATAGAAATCAATTCCTGGGTCAATGAGTTAAAAATTTGTGACCTGGAAAAAGCTATTTGTGCCTAATCTATCCAGGTTCCATGGTGACCTTGGAGTCTTGAGTGAGAATTTGTCATTGATCACTAAGAGCAAATTACATTTTACATTCTTTCAAACCGATTCCTTCAACTACTTAAAATGCTGGAACTTTTCCTACTCATAGGACAGTGAAATTAAAGGAGAATTATAAAAGGTGTATTCAACAAACGGAAAACAGTTTGCAAATTTTAATCCTGAGAGTTTTCTTGAAACTTGAAGAGACTGTAGATGATAGAGCTGTTTTAAGTTTAATTACCTTCTTAAGATGATCACAGCTCGGCGTGTTACAACATCTTCTGGCCTGACACAGTGAGTGATATGGTCTGCAGCATAGCCACTGAAAAACATTAATAATATGTGTCACGACGGGGTGGAATCAGGCGCTTGACACTTTTCGGTCCCATATGATATGGGGTTATTGGTATCTATCATAAGACTGTTTATTTGCCTTCCTTTTGGTGAAAGAAATATCCATTTACGTTGAATACAAGTCGAAATACTTACGACTGAAGGAGGTCAGGGACGCCTGGTAAAAAAGCGAGAAAGTGGCTGCCAAAGTTTGGTAATTTCCATAGTCTGAGAGTCCTCGAAAATGAAAATTTACATTTTTTGTGCCTTTCGTCATTGCTCTTTAGTAAAACCCTCACAAAAATGTGTTTTTAAATGGACATAAAATGTGTTGTCAAATAAAGAAAATTGTTGAAAAATTGCCCATTGGCCAAAAAAATGCACATTTCTTTGATTTCATAAATTTTTGGCGCGCGCCTGATTTTACCACAATGCCCTACAGAATTATATACAATATGCAATGTATAAGTTGTAGATGCATGCTATTTAATTTCTCTTGTGCTCTGCAAAGGAAAACAGCAGTTAACTGTTGGGAGTATATAAAGTTAAAGTAAAATAAAATGCAACAAGTGAGAGAAGAGAGACAATATCTACATTGCACTTTCTTCATCACTTCTAAAGCTTAACAAGCTTCTACTTCTTACAGTAAAGGATTCTCACAAAAAAGCTCTTCCCTTTATCCTGTTGTAGCCTCTAAACGAACATCAACATGTCTAACAACACTCTTCCCCAAAAGTTGCATCCTCTTCGAACTGACAGGAGGAAGTGTCCCTGATTGGGCGAAGTAGGTATTCAAATGAGTTGCTTAATCAGGGAGTACGAAGATTCGGACATTTTTTCCTTCATGGTGTGGGTATTTTGCCAGCATATATTGGTGCAAACCTTTTCCTTTTCATTCTGTCAGGTGTTCTTGCAATCTAAATTTAAATCTATTCAAATAGAAATGTTACTACTATCTAGTAGAATTGTTATTTATACCTTTGACTCTTCAATAAACAACAACAACTTCACATTCAGTCAGGGAGATTATGTTGAACTTCCCACATACATATATACTTATTTTATTCCAGTTTTGCAAAACACTTGCAATGAAAAAAACAAAACAAATACACCTGCTGAATTCATTCACATCAGTACTTACCTTAATAATGTTACACAGCCTCTTGAGAGAGGCAATGTAAGCACAGGCTTGGACACACGAATGGGCTTGAAGGAGAACTTACAACCAAAACTGAGAGCGCTTTCACTGAAAAACGACACAGAAACTATTGGCCTTTCAAATATGTGTGGTGGGTCAATATGTGACACAATGCACCCTCCAGGCTTATAATCATTGATAACTGCACTGTTCACAAAGCCCTCTGGAATCACATTCGACTCACAGAGGGGACGGACAACTAAACGGTGAATCCAGCTAGGAATCTCATCGACATCTCCTTTACTGTACAGACGCTCATTTCCAGGTCCTCTTTTCGTTAACTGTGATCCATAAGTGTATCCTTCTCCAAAGAAGTATTTATTTCGGAGAGGCGCTCTGCAAGAAAAAAAATTTAATAAAATATTAATTAACTGTGACCCAGCATATATACAGTCAAACCTGTGTAAGACGGCCACCCATTGTCAAGGAGAAAAGTGGCCGTATAAGACAGGTGGCCGTCTTAGGCAGGACTTATCAAGATGAAGAAAACAAACCGTTCCCATCTGAGGTCCCAAGCGAAAGTAGCCGCATTGTTGTTTTTGTTGTTGTTGTTGTTGGTGGTTTGTATTTTGTTTGTAATTTTTATTTTGTTGCTGATTTTGCACAAAGGTGACAATAAAACGAAATGTATCAGAAGAGGAAGACCGAGTGCCATGTTAAAACAAACACATGGGTCGCCACCACTCGGAGAACGAGCGACGCTTCTGTCACAAGTTCATGTTGACGTCCATTGCTACTTTGTTACAAACTGGGTAAACAGTGACCACTCATCTCACTTACGATTTGTGTATGAGTTCTGGGCGGGGCTTATGGGTAATGAGGGATCACAAGCTTACCTCACCAGCAGTTGAAAAATGGTAGCTCTATTGGTCAACAGTGGGAGGGGCCTACACAACATGACCAGTTGAAGGGACTACCTAACAACAACGAAGGTGATTGAATTATGACGGATCGCCCACAACGCCAGGGGCCAGTGCACAATTAATGACAAAACGTAATAGAATCACTAAGGTGGCCGTCTATGACAGGTGTATTGCTTAGTGTGATAGGGGTTGTGTGTTAAAATATGGTGGCCGCGGCCGCGTTGGACAGGTGCCCGTTTTACACAGTTAAATTATATAGAAAAAACGCAGGGGGGAAAAGGAAAGTGGCCGTTTGTACAGGTGGCCGTCTTATAGAGGTGGCCGTCAGGGCAGGTTTTACTGTAATGTATTGTATTACAACTGGCAAGACTTTTTAAAAAGCTTTTTTGACATCGGATGACATAGCAACATATCATATCAAGTATGAAATGACATAGCTCAGATTATAATGGCATATGACTGAATAATGGGTTAACCTGTAATCCAAAGTTCAGGAAATTAATTATCAATAATAGCAATAGGCACACCTGCCTGCGACAACAGACTGGATCAGGACTAGTCTACCTCTGGACGTTTACTCGGGAGGGCCATCATTTCCCTAATGTTTCAACCTAAAACAAAAGTTAACTCTTGTCCTGCGTCTGTGCCCAGATGCGTATCTTATCAGCAACCGATTACGTCGGACGTGCCGGGCAGGCCGCCGGGGTCACTCAGTGTGTACTGTTGCTGTACAGCGCGCGCGCGCCGGGAAACGTGTGTTTTCACCATGAATACCGCGGGAGTGTGTTAACTGATGATGAAAATAACGCTCTATCTTTCATAGCTTTCTATTTATAAAGTGTTACAAACACATGAATAACCCCCTCTCACAAGCTGATAGACATTACGAGTAGTTACGCCCATTTGAATAACCTTTCTGGACGCTCTTGTTGTTATGAATGACCTGAGGTTCGAAAGGGGATAATTTAGGTCAATTTCCGAATGTTCTACACTCAAATTGTTCTTTGTACCTGCACAAGGGTATTCAAAACTACCAAACAAGCTTATTTTTTATCAGGTAGTATCATTTCATACAAAATCAAGAGCTAATTTGAAATATTTTGTATAGAAAAATGGAAATCTTGTTTCCTGAATATCCTTTCGAGCTCCTCATGTCTAAGTGGGTCAATTTCTTCTATAATTTCATTGGACGAAAATCTAGAGCTATCAACTTGGCATGTTTTGAATGAGACGTATGCCTCGATTACGAACCAACGCAGGTGGTTCTAGAAGAAGGCCACAAACGCACACAAACTCAAGCAGACTGACGCACACATACTTGACCTGCGTGAATGGGGATCCGACTCGGGACCCGAATGACACGTAAGAGGATGCGCGCTGCCCGTGCGCTGAGCCAGGAGCTACACTGACTCAGGACCAGAACGCAGGCGAGGTGCCGAAATAGGCTTATCGGGCTACATAAACCCGGCTCCCGCAGGATGAGGGTTAAAGACCTAAGCTGGAGATAAAGGGTTGATCAGAAACTGCTATCCAAGGAGCTCTGGATTTAATTCCTTTACGGGGGGAAAAGGGTTACTGCCCTCACGTAGCAATGCCAATCGCCGCTGCGCCTTGGGCCAGAAATCGGCCTCCGCGTGAGGGGTATTTTTTGGGCCGCTCGGAATCAGAAGTGACTCTCTTCTAAGTATAGTTACGGGAAAACTCCTGGACGAAAATAAATGAAACTCGGCAACCAACCAGAGGAAAGGATAAACTAACGACATGTCAGCGTACAATCCCGAACGATTACTAGAACCAGAGATATTGCCTAGCAATGACAATGAAAAATTAAATTTTCATCCAAATTGCTTAAAAATGGGCTTAAATGAAAATAGAGTAAATTCTAAGAACTATGGTTTTTAAATTTTAAAAATCCATTGATAAATAAAAAAGTTATTGGGATTTTTGTTTGCAAATGCTGGAGGACCTTCATATAGGAAAAAATCGCCAAAATGTGGGACATGTTTTGATGTATTTTGAGGAAAAACTGTTCATAAGTCAGTAATGAATTCGAGCATCATGAATGAAACTTGGCATCTCCTTGTGATTTTTAGTGCTGAATCTAGTTCTGTTATCACTTTTTCAATGTCTTCATTACTTTGGATCTTAAAGACTGATATTTGCGTGAAATTTGTTGAATTGCGTGACATCGTTTTTACCGCGACGTGATCACCCCTTCTAAAACTCAGTAAAGCGCTATCGCGAAAACCCGCGATGTAGTCATCGGTAACCCATTTGGTTATAGGCAGCCAATCACATGCCGCCTAGCGATCACGCGCCTCTGGCATGCCGGCACCTCGCGTTTGGAATGCGCGATCAAGTTTCTAGATCTAGTGTTTTATCAATGGATGGGTGGTAATTTTAAGTTGGTACGGAAAATCTACTAAACGCAGAGATCTGAAATTTTACAGCAATAAGAAGACATGTGGGGCGCTTGTGTGGTCCGCGATTAACCCGCAGCTCCGCTTAGTTTTCTAACCGCAGAGGAAACACGGCAATATCTCCGGTTCTAGTAATCGTTCGGGATTGTACGCTGGCATGTCGTTAGTTTTAAAACCTTTCCTCTGGTTGGTTGCCGAGTTTCATTTATTTTCGTCCAGGAGTTTTCCCGTAACTATACTTAGAAGAGAGCCACTTCTGAATCCGAGCGGCCCAAAAAATACCCCTCGCGCGGAGGCCGATTTCCGGCCCAAGGCGCAGCGGGCGATTGGCATTGCTATATATTGCCGTGTTTGTGCGAATTTCCTGTGCGGTTCGAAAACTAAGCGGAGCTGCGGGTTGATCGCCGACCACACCAGCGCCCCACATGTCTTCTTTATTGCTGTAAAATTTCAGATCTCTGCGTTTAGTAGATTTTCCGTACCAACTTAAAATTACCACCCATCCATTGATAAAACACTAGATCTAGAAACTTGATCGCGCATTCCAAACGCGAGGTGCCGGCATGCAAAAGGCGTGTGATCGCTAGGCGGCATGTGATTGGCTCCCTATAACCAAATGGGTTACCGATGACTACATCGCGAGTTTTCCCGATAGCGCTTTACTGAGTTTTAGAAGGGGTGATCGCGTCGCGGTAAAAAAGATGTCGTGCAATTCAACAAATTTCACGCAAATATCAGTCTTTACTTAAGATCCAAAGTAATGAAGACATCGAAAAAGTGATAGCAGAACTAGATTCTGCACTAAAAACCACATGGAGATGCCAAGTTTCATTCATGATGCTCCAATTCATTACTGACTTATGAACAGTTTTTCCTCAAAATACATCAAAACATGTCCCACATTTTGGCGATTTTTTCCTATATGAAGGTCCTCCAACATTTGCAAACAAAAATCCCAATAACTTTTTTATTTATCAATGGATTTTTAAAATTTAAGCCCATTTTTAAGCAATTTGGATGAAAATTTAATTTTTCATTGTCATTGATACCTCACGCCTCACCACAGCAGTGTCTGTACTGACAGTACTGTTCATCCTTTCCTCATCCTTGGACGAAAAAAAACGTTTTGCCTGTTACAACATCAAGGAAAATATGCCGATTAGATCGTACAGAAACTGCCAATTCTACTAACCTGTCCACAGTGTGTTCTTTGTACAGTCCAAGATCGCTTATCTTCACAACTTTGTCTATTTTCTTTTCAATTTCTTTGCATTGCTTCTCGGAGAAAAGACGATGCTGCTCGATGCCTCCTTTGACCCTCTGGAGTTCTTCTTCACGTTGCTCTGTGTCTAAATCATCGTACTTTGAACGAGGTGTCGCTTTATGGACGTGGGACTGCAGCGGCTTACATTTAATGCCGGTTTTCTTCCCATACTCTTTTTGAGTATGCGAAGACTTATGAAGTTTTTCTCTAAGGTCGGGTACCGATTCAGTCGCCATGTTTGTTTGACTTTGGTAGTTACAGTACCTTCCTCACAAATGAGCATCACAGAAAGACTAATTTATGTTTTATACGAAAAAAGAGTTCCACTTCATCAACCGTTTTTGTTGCTTTTCGAGTTGCGTCCTGCGGTTTAAGATTTAAAAGGCTCGAACAAACAAACGAACACGTACAAACCCACACACTCAAATAGAGTGAGAGAGAGAGAGAGAGAGAGAGAGAGAGAGAGAGAGAGAGAGAGG